AGCTCTCTAGGGATTTCAATTTTCGTTTTCTCAATGGTTCTAGCGCGAATTTGAGAAATACAAAATATTTTGGCTTCTGTACCGGGTTTGGTTAATTAGCTTCGGTTAGTATTGGTTTAACTCCCGCGTTTTTTGTACAGTAGCGATTTAACAGTAAGCCCTAAAACCCAAATCCTCAAGCTCGCAGTGACGATGTCGCTAGAGAAGCATATAGAGAAAGTGCTTTTTAGCGCCGAAGTAATCGCGAATCGGGTGGGCCAACTTGGATCCGAGATTACTTCTGATTTCTCCGGTGAATCGGAGTCGCCTGTTTTCGTCGGTGTAGCCACCGGTGCTTGCCTCTTCTTGGCTGACCTCGTAAGGCGAATCGATGTACCCATCTCTATCGATTTCATCAGAGTTGAGTCTTACGGCTCTGGTACTGTCTCTAGTGGAGCTCCCAGAATTTCATTTGACTTGAAGCTGGACGTCACGAACAAGCACGTTATCTTGGTAATCTCCGTCTACTAAATCTGATCTCTTTAGTTGGGTCTGATTCTGGCTTCTTTAGCATATGAGTTTCGGATTGATAGAGATTTGATGAAAAGTTTGAGTCTATAGAGCTTGAAATTACTGTGGTGGGTACTGAAAAGTGAGTCTTTTTTTATGGAAGTTTTAGCGTTTGAAGAGACCACTCTGATGTTTTCACATTTGATGATGTATTGCTAATCTTGGAAATTTCATTACTTCTTTTGTTAACTAGCTATGTGTTTTGTTTAAAGGTCGAGGACATTGTGGATACTGGCAATACACTCAGCTGCCTAATCGAGCACCTGAAATCGAAAAAGGCATCGTCTGTTTCAGTCTGCACGCTACTCGACAAGCCATCGAGAAGAAAGGTTCATTTCAAGCTGGTTGGAATTGGGAAGTTCTACAGTGGATTTGAGGTCAGCTGCTTCTTATCTCTCTCCTGTCAAATTTAGAGTGGATATTCAAATATTATTGATACCACTCTATGTTCAGGTGTTGTAATGTTATGCCTATGCTTGTGTAAACCATGATAAGGAACTAGCTTGACTTAAGAATTATATTTTCATGGCATTGTTTTGAACATGTGTTGTACCTTTTGAATATGTGCAGTGTCCAGATGACTTCGTCGTGGGCTATGGCATGGACTTTGCAGAGCAATACCGCAACCTATCTTACATTGGCGTATTGAAGCCTGAATTTTACATGTGACAATATTACATGAACTGAAGTCAGTTCATACAATCATACTTACTGGGCAAATCATGATATCTTTCAAGACTTGCCCCTTATATTGTTGTTACAAAAAGCAGTAACACCAAAGTTTTACAACATTTTGACAATGATTCTGTTGCAAAAGCTAATGCATGTAGGTTTGTGATATGTTATACAATCCACAGATCCATAAATCTTTTAGTTATAGACAAACCATACATTATATTCCAAGAAGTTGATACAAACAAACAACAAGTCCCTAACCTCTTACAACCTCTTACAACCAAACCGAAACTGGATAGTAACTAAGGTTTAGCCTTTTCTTAGTGATCTATCTTCTTCCCTTTCTACTTCCAGGTGAGCAGAGGAAGAGAGTTCTTGGCCGGAGGAACAACAAGTCCATCGGAATCATACAAGATAACACCAGAGAAATCTGGAAGCTGGCATTTGCCTCCCATGAGAATGTTCTTCTGCCACAACGGGCCTCGTCTCTGATCCCCACTCAGCAGCATGCTTGGTTCTCCGTTGTGTGGATCATAAACACTGCCATTGT